AAATAAATATACAAAAATTAATATTTTTTTAAAAACTTACTTATTAATGAGATAGCATCATTTTATTCACTTCATTAATTAATAGAATCATTATATTCTAACAATGTATAAAATTTATATACTGATAGTGCATCAAATTTAAATCCGTTATAAGTTTATATTTGTACATTGTCAATGTATAAATTTTATATAATGTCAGTAAATCAAATGATGATACATCATTAATAAGCAAATATCAACCTTTTAAAATAAATATACAAAAATTAATATTTTTTAAAAAACTTACTATTAATAGGTGGTATCATCTGATTCACTTCATTAATTAGATGGCATCATCCTATATTACTAACAGTGTATAAAATCTATATACTAATAGTATATCAAATATAAATTTGTTATGAGTTTATATTTGTATATTGTCAGTGTATAAATTCTATATACTATCAGTAAATCAAATGATGATACTCCATTAATAAGCAAATATCAACCCTTAAAATAAATATACAAAAATTAATACTTTTTAAAAAACTTATTCATTAATGAGATGATATCATCTTATTCACTTCATTAATTAGATGATATCATCTTATTTACTAATAATATATGAAATCTATAAACTAATAATACATCAAATATAAAATCATTCTATTATATTACTCAAATTCACTTAAGATGTGTTAAAGAAGACGGAGGGTTTTTCAAAGTAAAAAATTTCTACTTCGTAGCATAAACAAATTCTACTTTTGCTAATCCATGCCAAATCTTTCAAAGTAAAAGCAAGCTAGAGCTAGAATAGCTGTATTTCAAAAGGTAAAAGATCATCGCTAGACAAAAGCTAAAATTAACTATATTTTTCATTTTTTTTGGGTAAACAGGGAGACCTGCTGAAGGTGAAGGTGAATGAATTAAACTCTCCAAGGACACTAGTTCCTTAGTCATATTATTCTATTCCTTACTGTTGCCAAACTATAATGGGCAGTTCAGAGATTCTCGGTGAAGAACTCCATGATCATCTTGTAAGTTCCCCTTATTGAGTAAGCTTTGGTATTTTTGACAAATAGAAGCCAACTCTCTTACGTCATGGATACAACTTTCTTTTTTTATGTCTTTGACAATTACTACATGTTGAAATGTGGGAACTGTAAATGTGCAAACTAATTTTTCGGCTTATAAGTGATGCCAAATTTGCCAAGGAGATCAAAGAGAAGATCTATTAATGAGCATCGAGTCAATATGTATGCTCTTGGTATTCAGATGTAACACAATTTATCAGTTCTTTGACATTTGCTTTCACGTTTCATTTCTATTAATTATTTTGATGCGTGTGATAGGATCCTTGATGAACTTCCTCTGGTATTCCCCATAACATTATCCGATAATGAACAATTCTCCTAATTCTTACCATCTTGAGCTTGGATTTCCTATTGCGCTTAGATATTGGCAGCAGCTGTAAATATATATGTATGAATTAGCATCAGCAGCTTCAATTCTTGTGGATTGTTATATATTTTATTTGCTCACTTTGCATGATTTACATAGAGTGAGTAGGAAATATATTTCATCAACAATCATTTGGCATTCACTGTCAACTATCATAGAGTTTTGGAAACTGATTATGTAGAATTAAGGGGTTTGAGGTTAAACCATGCAGTTCATGTCCCCTCAGTTTTGGATTGCCAATTAGAGTTAATTTCCTCTTGGAGTTTTCAGATATTCTGAATCACATAGCTAGTGTTTGATGGTGTTTCTTCGATGTTTTAAGCATGCAGAATCAAACATGGATACAAAGGAAAATGGAAAGAAATGCTCATTTGATTACATGTGGGAAAGAAAATGGCATCGCACTCGGAAGGTCCTAAAGAGGTGGAAGAGAAAAAGGAAATCATATTCACATATGATGTTGAATTTCAGGTAAACTCCCATGTATTTAAATGACTTTTCTCATTGAAGGCATTGACAGTTAGTACGTAAATACTTTAGTTTGAAGTTTGAACAATACGGTGAACTGTGAAGCCACTAAAGCCTCAAGGTATTAAGATTCTCATTTCTCATCACCTTGCTCTGATGGTCTACAATCTACTTCTCAAGAGATTCATGAGAAGTGGGCATCTAGATGGGATGCATATATTTCAACGAGGCATCGTAAAACAGAGTGGCTTTCAATTATCAATTCTTTGACAATTGTTCTTTTGCTCTCTGGCATAGTGGCAATGCTTGTGCTAAGGAGTAAGGACACTCTACTATGACATTGCTAAGTATGACAAACTTGAATCCCAAGAAAGAAGCTCTGGGAAAACCAGGATGGGAGCTCGTCCTTAGGGATGTTTTCAGGCCTCCATCTAATTCTGATCTACTCTGTGTCTATGTTGGAACCAGCTCATACAAATCTTTGCAGTATAAATTATTCTTAATCAAAGGCTTTAAAATTGAATAATTTGATATTGTTAGATTTTATTATGAAACCTATATTACATTTCATGGTTTTAAACAGAATTTACTTTTATTCTAAATTGCTGCTACTGTATCGATGTCTCAAAATAACCAGGCTGTGACCTTCTTCGTTGTGAATTTCAGCTTCAGTTGTTTCTGTTGGTAGCTTCTTCGGGTTAAAGAAACCAATAATTGAGGATCTCGTGAAGACAAATAACATTCCTAGGCAGATTCATAAGTGAGCTCGATATATGAACCCGGTTCTGATAGGGGGAATAATACCTTTTGGAACCGTTTCCAATGAACTCTTCTTGCCTTAGTCTGCCTGAATCAATTAATCTACATCTACGGCTTCCTCTTCTTGGTCTTCTTATAGTTACCACTGAAATAACCATTGTGTTATGATACCTTCACTTATGCAGAGAGGACTCGCAATGTTGGTGGAGGTCATACATAGCATCATGCTCCTTGGCATTGTATGTCTTCGTTTATTCTGCATAGTCATTACTTCTTGACATAACAGGGTCGGTTTCAGCGACGATTTACTTTGGATGCAAGCTAATTGCCGCCTACGTTTTTTTTGTGCTAACTGGAACCATCGGATTTTACATATGCTTTTGGTTCACTAGACAGACTCCTTGACTCATCTGTCAAAAATCAAAATCGATTAACAGGCTTTTAGCTTGCTTGTCCTCTTGACTTGGTTTAATTTAATAGAATTTTGTATTATTGGAAAATATAAATCGATTTTTTTTTTTTTTTAGATTATATGAGAGTTGAACTTTCTGTATAATAACTGTGGAATTCTTGATGTTGGAATTTTAAATCACTAGAGAGCTTACATGGACTGTTTTGATCTAATTAATCAGTACATGCTAAAAGGAAGAGTTTAATTTTCTTCTCGAATAAACAACTAAACAAGAACAAAAACACTAGTAAAAAAGCCAATTAGTTCTTATTATACATGATACTTCCTGGGGCGAGTGTCTCTGGGGTCATCAACACCTGTGGCCACCTTGGCAACATCAAGGACACTAGCTTCACGCTTGTTTCTGGAGTACAACACGGAATATCCTACGGCGGCAGTGATAAGGAGGCTGCCGATGAACATGGTAGTCATGGTAAAGGGAAATTTGCATCTTTGGTGCAGCACTTCACCAGGTACCGGCCTGGTGGTTTCTTGGATGCTGCCACGCCTGCTGCTCTTACCTTTCCTTGGCTCATCTTGTAGGTATCTGCGTTTTTTCTTCTTTGCACAAACTTGAAATTCCACGAAGGTTTAATCATTCCTTTTATCTCTGTCAAGGGCTTCAAGAATGGAAGAGCAAATGTTGCTAGCATTTCGTGGAGAAGATCACGTAGCAATTAGCGGTTGCATGTTAGCGTGCCAAGTGTTCACCCTAGGAGATGGCACAGCAACTCGAGGTCAGAGCAACCAAGCAAGCATCAATAGGGAACGCGCTACAGGTCAGAGGCCAACCTTTGCTAAGAGCAAAAAATTCTTGACTTGAACTGATTGTGATCAATATGGGTACCGTCTCCAACCAGATGGACTCAGTTTCTGGGTTTATGCGGTTCGTAGGTAAAAGTCCATATTAAAAACTGAAGGAGGTTTTAGGCTGGGATGGTGGCACTAATTAGTGTATTGATCGCCGAATTTGTGCTCATTTTCGAATTGAAAAAAACGAACAGTTAAGCCAAAAAAACAATTGTAAGTATCATTATTCTTTACTGAAAAACAAATTTTTAATGAAAAAAATGAAAAAGAAATTTTATTTATAGATGCAATTTTACTAGTGAAATTTTTTTAATTTTTAATTGCAAAATCAGCTTGTAATGAATCTCTTATTATCTCAAATAAAATTATTTTGTCTCTTACTATTTAGTCACACTCAAAATTTTTACTTTTTCTCACAATATGACACCACTTAGGCCAAACTTTGTCTTTTTTTGTCTAAACCATTTAAATTAGAATTTTTTTTTTTTTTTTTTTTTTTTTAGGTTTTGCTTCATAAGAATAATGGAAATGAGTGAGTATAAAAAATTTATTAATTTAATTATTAAAATTTATAAAATTTGGTTATTTTATAACTTAATCATTAAATTAATAAATTTTTTATTTTTAGTTATTTTCATTCTTAACCTGAATGTTAAAAAATATATAAGATGAAAGTGAAAAAACTATCGGACATGATAAAATTACGAAAAAGATATAGTAAATTTTCATCTATTCATGATTTTTTAAGTGAAATTAGAATATATATTTATATATACAAAAACCATCTAAATATGCTTTATCAAAAATATTTTATTGTTTAAACAATTTTTAACAAAATTAATTTGAAACATGGCCGTAATTAAAGTGATGGTAATACAAAGTTTTGTGACCTCAAATAAATTTTCTAAAACCGAAAATATCCATAAGCATTGCACGAACAGCAAAAACCAAAAGACCCAAAGGGATTTTCTACATTTGATCGTTAAGATCAATTGACCGTTACAATGGGCAAGGGACAGTCGGTCAGAGACTCAGAGCCCGGAAGACCACGTGGCAACACTAACACCATCCTTGTAAGGGCTAGTTTCCCTCCCCTTTCCGGTTTCCCACTTATACAATAAATACGGTAAGACCCTGACTATTTACCCTGAGTCATAATAACTCACCTCTCTTTTCTCTACAGGAGTTTTACCCAAATTCGGTTTACTTCCTCGACTGCTATTTCTGCTCAGCTTTTTCATAATCTGATTTCCTATGGCCGCTTTTCTAAGAAGGCTAACTTCTTTGGTGCTCTTGTTTCTATTTGTAAGCTTTACAGATGCTAGAGAAATCTTGGTTGGTGGGAAGACAGATGCTTGGAAGATCCCATCTTCTGAATCAGACTCTCTCAACAAATGGGCTGAAAATTCCCGTTTCCGCATTGGCGACTCTCTCGGTAATAAATCTACTTTTTCTCTGAGCTTTAACACGATGATGCACTTCACTTTGTGGGATTGGTTTTTTTTTTTTTTTACTTGAGTTTTTCTAATTCCTTTTTGGTGTTTTTGTTAGTGTGGGAATATGATGGTGGCAAAGACTCAGTGCTGCAAGTGACTAAGGAGGCTTATGCAAGCTGCAATACCTCAAACCCTATTGCAGAGCACAAGGATGGAAAAACCAATGTTAAGCTTGAAAAGTCAGGGCCATTCTATTTCATTAGTGGAGCTAAGGGTCACTGTGAGCAAGGCCAAAAGTTGCTTGTGGTTGTGTTGTCTCCAAGGCACAGATACAATGGAATCTCCCCTGCATCTTCTCCGGCGGAAATTGAGGGTCCTGCCATTGCTCCTACAAGCAGTGCTGCCGCGTTGAAGGCTGGTTTTTCGGTGACACTGGGGGTTTTGGTTTTGGGGTTGTTCTGAGCTGTGAGTGGCTTTATGGATTTTGAGTGATAATCTTGGATTTTGCTATCCAATATTATTAGGAAGATTATTTCATTTTTTTTTTTATGTAGTTGAGATTATAGCAATATAATTCATTTAATAATTACTTCAATACAAAGGAAAGTGTTCACCGCTTTTCGTCCCTGACATTTCTCACCGAAACGAGGGTAGTTTGCAGTCATTTACTGATTAATCTAGAGCCTGGACAAGCATTGTTCTAAAAAGGATTTATGTCACTAATGTTACGTGAGATACTTGAGTCTTGAACTTTAAATTAACTTCCAAATGATAACACGTGAGGAAATAATTTTTTAATTAATAAATTCATAATTAAAACAGTCACAGAGAACAGTCACAGGAAGGTTTAACAGAACCATAGGTAGACAGTACTTGCTGAGCTGATACAACTGACCACCCAATACCAAGTAAACATAACATGAATAAGGATGGTTCAACTGTGGACATAGGAAGATGGCTTTTTGGATATGCTTCTACTTAAATTTGAATATAACTTTGAATTATGAATATAAATTTTGCAGGGTGAACAGAGGAAACGAAGGAAATATATCCTTCTTCTGTTGACGTTACTGAATTGATTGAGAAAAAGGATTTAAGGTAAACAACAAACAAAAGTTGGTTGGTATAGAATGTGAAGTATAATTTTAATCCTTTTAATGCTGATAACCATGGGAGGCCTTGAACCCCCCATATAGTGTCAAAACAACCACGTGTGGTTATTCCACCACTTTATGTATATTTTGATAGCATAACCGTTGCATCCAATCAAGATATCAACGGCATATTGGCATACAATCACTTTGCAATTTTTGAAACGCTAAAAGAAAAAAGAATCTTAAACACAAAACAAACTCTGAAAATAAAGACTGTAAAAACATGAAACAAATATCTGCCATGATTAACTGGAGGATCAGCTCAAAGGCAGGTCATCATCTGAAGCATCAACCTGCAGAGGCCTCTTAAAACCATCTTTATTATCATCACAAAGTTCACGGGCCATCTTCTCAAGAAATTCTCTAGCAGCATCTTGAGCAGATTGCTTATCAGATGATTGGTATTTTCGCTTCTTTTTAACACCACTGTCTGAATATTTGATCCTTGGCCCCTCTCCTTTACTGATTTGCCTCGTACTTCGTCTCTGCTCTGCAGTAGATAAAAATTCTTAAGAAACAAGATGAAACCAAGCAATTGATGCAAAGAAAAAAGAAGTGAATTATCAATTACCAGGGGTCGGGTCGGGTAAAGAATGCTCAATGAAACGGGCTGCTGCCTGAGAGTTCAAGGTAGTTAAGGGTCGCAATGTTGCTTTAAGAACAGATTCATGCTTATGTTAGAAAGTGACATAAATAGTTATATCAAAATCATTGCAAAAACGGAATACTAGAATCTTATACTTCCAAAATGATCCAATTGCTTCATATAGTATGGCATCATGGTAAGAAGTGAGGAAAAAATGTACCTTTACTTAAGTCAATGAACCGCTCTAACTTGCCTTGATACAAGTTTAATCTCTCCTAGATATGGAAACCAAAGTAGACCAAAAAGTTAAGCGAGACATGCCTAAAAAACTTTAAAACAGACAAACCAACTAATGATTTCCTAATGTTAAAACAAGTAGAATATCTATAAGCTCTTAATTCCCACATAAATTAAACAATATCATTTACCAAAAGCTCGGCACACTTCCTGTTAGATGTCTTGGCATTCCTTTGGTTAAACGAAGGCTTAAATATAAAGATTACATCCCATTAATTGAGAAAATCACAGCCAGAATTAATAGCTGGGCAGCTAAGCACCTATCATATGCAGGCAGATTGCAATTGATACAATCTGTTTTGTATAGCATTCATAGCTACTGGTGCAAGCATTTTATTTTGCTTGAGAAGGTCATAAAGAAAATTACTCAACTCTGTTAAGCTATCAATCGGGCACAGCAAAAGGGGCTAGAATCAGATGACAAGCCATTTGTAGTCCTAAGTCCGAAGGAGGTTTGGGATTGAAGGATTTTTTAACATGGAACCAAGCTTGTGTAATTAGGTGTTTATGGTCTCTATTTGCACAAACAGGATCAGTGTGGATTGCATGGACATAAAATTATGTGCTCAAAGGGAGAAGCATATGGGATGTGCCAATCACTCAAAGTAGCAGTTAGAGTATGAGGAAAGTGCTGTAGACGATGAACATTGCTTCCAATTTTTAATGCCAGTAGAGGAAGGGATAATATGGAGCAATGGTGGCTCAAGCTACTCAGCTGCAATCGTATGGGAGGAACTAAGGCCTAAACAGGAGAAGGTGGCCTGGCATAGGCTTATTTGGCGCAAGTTTCACATTCCTAAGCATGCAGTTATTGCATGGATGGCCATTCTAAACAGGCTCACTGCCAAGGATACGTTGACTGCATGGGGGATTACAACTATTGGTGTTGTGTACTGTGAAAACAGGAAGATGAAAGCCGAAGTCACATTTTCTGCGCTTGTAGCTACTCCAAGGCAGTCTGGAAGCAGGTTTTGTAACACTGTAAACTACGAAAGGAGGTTGCTGATTGGGAGACTGAACTTCAATGGGCAATTACCAGGCTTCAAGGCAAGGTATTACTCCTTATTATATTGAGACCGGCTGGGGGAGTTTCCATATATTTAATATGGAAAGAGAGGAACAAGAGGCTCTTCAGGTCAAAGGAAAGCAGCTGTGAGCAGATTTGGAGGCAGATTAAAGAGGTAGTCAGACTTCGAGTGACAAGATTAACGCATATGCATTTGATCATGTTCATAAAAAATCGTGTGAGAGATTGGACCTAAGCAGGGGAATGTTTGTATTGTAAATCTGAGAGGTAATACCATATTGTATGAACAGTTAATTGGTCGCATTGATTTGCTGCTTCTTGGATAATAAAATTACAATTTATGAAAAAAAAAAAAAACTCAATATCACATAAGATAAAAAAGGAAACGAACCCAGAATGAAATATTGAAAATTTAATAAAAGGAAAAGAAATACAGAGTTAGAAGATATACAAGCTCTGATTTAATAGGATGGTCATCTGGGTGCACACCACTGCATCTCAACCTCACTAACAAAAAAAAAACAAAAACCATTATCACAAGTAAAAAAAGTTAAGCATTTAAAAGACGCATAATAACTAAATTAAATCCAAAAAACGACAAGTAATTGGAAATTATAAGTGAAAAGAGTAGCAGTGGCTTCGGCAAGCGAGAAGAAAGCCTGAGCGCGTTGAAGGGGGGCATTTGTGCAAGGACATCAGGTTCTGAGAGAGACAAGAATTGCAGCAAATGATTACTCAGATTTTGAATGTTTACTAGCGTTGTCCTCACTGAACTCATCACAGATTCTAGGATTACTAAGCTCCCTCCTTCACCTCCTTCCATATTTGTTCAATATTCAAACTTTACTCTCTTTCTCCCTCTTTGGCTGGTGCCAACGACTTTTAAGAAATGGAAAATTTATCAATTGCTAGGGCTGAGAGCAAGGCCAGACCGGTTTATGGTCGCACTTGGGTTCACTACGATTTTTTTGTGTTTGTTTTCAAACCTTGGAAGCAATTGTTGTAGCTTAGTTGCTACACAAGTCGGGTTTTATTTTCCTGTAGTGAAAATATTAATAAATTAGATTACTTTTTTTTTCTCTAGCTTTTAAAAAAATTAGTAAAGCTCATTGCATGGTTTTAATTAATTTTGAGTTTAATTATTTAAAATTAAATTAATGTAATTTAATTATATTATTTTATTTTTATTAATTGAATTAAATTTATTAAATTTAAAATTTTAATTAATCAAATTTAATGTTAATTTTTAAATTAATTGAATAATGAAATATATTTAAATTAAATTATATTTTGAAATTTTAATTTCTTATATTTAAAATAATTTAAATAAAATATTTAAATAGCAAAGAATTAAATTAAAAACTCTTACAACTTATAAAATGAAAGACTAAGTTTTATATATTTTTAACTTGGTTAAAATGTAAAAAATGTTCATGAATTGTAATTTAATAATTATTTAAATCTTTAATAATTTATTAAATAAATCAAATTCTTAATTTTTTATTTTGATTTAATTAAACCCTCTATTTCAAAATATCAAAAAGGTAAAGAAACGAAATTGAGTGTTACGTGTATACATCAATTGACTTTTTTTTTTCAATCAAATTATCAAATAAAAAATAAAAGAAATAATTAACAAAGACAAAATGGTAAAAAAATCAAATTGTCACCAACATTAACAATAATGAGTTTTTCTAATATCTTTTTGGAAAATTTTATCAAAAAAAGAAAAATCAATTTTTTATCAATAATATTATATGAGCCCCACATAAAAAAGTTAAAATATTAAAAAAATTATAAGTATTTAGAAAGAAAAAAGTTGTAAATAGGAAAAATTATTAAAAAAGCAAAGAAAAAATTAACTTGATAAATGACATATCCTTATTATAAGACAAAATGAAAATTAAATTTAAAAATATTTGTTAAGTATATTAAAAATAAAAATAATAAAACAATTTAAAAAATATTAATATATTCAAAAGTGAGTCTCATAAAAATAAATTTAAAATTTTGAAAAAAATGGGATAAAGTGAAAATCACCTTTAAAAAACAAAATTTTTTAAAAATATTTATTAACTGAAAAAATAACAAAAATAAAAAAAAAGTATAAAAAGTGTCACGTGCCATAAAACTATTACATGATCAAATTTTAAATTATTAATTTTTTTTGGTAAGAGAAATAAAGAGTATAAAAAGTGTCACGTGACATAAAACTATTACATGATCAAATTTTATATTATTGAACTTTTTTTAAGAGAAATTCAGAAGTAAATAGGTTGTTCAGTCTTTTATGTTAGGGTAAAATGTATCATATCTGATAATTTAAAATGAGTAGTTGTAAATCATGCATTGAAAATAATTTTTTTTGTAAGAAAAATCCGAAAATAAATAAATTGTTCAATCCCTCATGTTAAGGTAAGATATACTATATCTAACAGCATCTTAACAAATCAATAAACTTGAACCTTGTTCCTACATGACCCGATCAATTCGATCAGGCACTCGCCATCTATTTTCATTGTTCAACTCTTTGACAACATGAAAAAACCAACTGTCCTCCCTCTCTATCTATCCATGGGATGGAAGGGCGGAGACCTTTGGTGTCCCCTCCAGTCAAGAATTGGGACCTCATAATCACTAGCCAATATACTTTTCCTTTTCTCGCACGCCTTTCTTCGTTCATGGTTCGATATTCTAGTGCGTTAGGTATAAGGATAAATAAGTTATTCAATTTTTTAGATTAATATAAGATGTATCGTATCTAACAGTCTAATATAAGTGATTGTTGATTATGCATTCGAGATGATTTTAACAAATAACTATTGAGAAGGCTTGAACTCAAAATTTTTTTATCAAAAAAAATAATTTTAATTAATTGAATCATTTATTGATTTATATTATTGATCGATGATTGATAATATAACTTATCAAGGGTAAAAAGTTGTTGATTTTAGAATTCCAATATGTTCGAATATTTTCACATAAAAAAATGCCACTATTAAGTACGAAAAATAAAACGGGACAAAAAGGAAGTCTTTTGAGAGAAATAATTAAAAATAATAAAGGGTAAAAGATATGAAAATAAAAGGAGATAATGTGATAGAACAGAAAATATCCCAAATGCCTAAATTCTGCGGTCATGGAGATCCTGTAAGTAAAACCGATAAACCCCTCTCTCTCTAGAGCCAAGCAGATATTTTAGGTAAGTGAATGAGCTTTTCTCTATCTTTACGTTTTCATGTTCTTTCAAAGACAATGCAATGAACAGAAGCTATGCGAAAAGTGACCCATCTCTGATTACCTGCACATGATCATCGTTTTGTTGGTAATAACTCTTTTATGGCTGTTTTAATACTTTGCTCCACGACTGCTTGCTGCAATAGTCTCAATTATACTTGTATTTTAGCTGATAGTAAAGTTTCTGCTTTTAGCCATAAAAATGTGTCCTTTGGAGGTAGAAAGATTGGAAATTTTAAGGTTTTGCCATATGGATATATGGTGACTTGGAAGAAGCATAGAAAACAGCAATTGGGTTTCTATGTGATGAAAAGTTCTTGTGAAATGGTGGTGGCAAAAGGGAAATACAAAAATAACTTGGCTTCTGAGGAAGTTTCCAGGGTTCTCAAATCGATTTCCGATCCAAATTCTGCTTTTTCTTACTTTAAACCAGTTGCAGAGTTGCCCAACGTTGTTCACACCACTGAAACTTGTAATCATATGCTTGAAGTCTTGAGAATTCACAGAATGGTAGGAGATATGCGTTTTGTGTTTGAATTTATGCAAAAGCAAATCATCAAGAGGGATTTGAATACATATTTGACTGTTTTTAAGGGTCTTGATATCACAGGAGGGCTCCAGCAAGCACCATTTGGACTTGATAGAATGAGAAATGCTGGGTTTGTTCTTAAAGTATATTCATGTAATGGATTGATCCATTTGCTACTTCAATCTGGGTTTTCCAGGGAGGCTCTGCAGGTTTATAGAAGAATGATCTCTGAAGATCTAAAGCCTAGTTTTAAGGCTTATTCAGCTCTCATGGTAGCATCTGGGAAGAGAAGGGATATTGGAACAGTTATGGATTTGCTAGAAGAGATGGAGACTCTGGGATTGAAGCCAAATGTTTACACCTTTACAATATGCATTAAAGTGCTTAATAGGGCTGGGAAAATCAATGAGGCATTTGGGATCTTGAAGAGAATGGATGATCTGGGGTGTGGGCCTGATGTTGTTACCTATACTGTTCTCATAGATGCTCTTTGTAATACTGGGAGACTTGATCAAGCAAGGGAAATATTCTTAAAGATGAAAGCGAGCAATCATAAACCTGACAGAATAACCTACGTTACTTTGTTGGACAAGTTTAGTGACTGTGGAGACTTGGAGTTAGTGAAAGAATTTTGGAGTGAAATGGAAGCTGATGTTGATGCTTCTGACGTGGTAACTTTTACCATACTTGTCAATGCTTTCTGCAAAGTTAGAAATTTGGAGGAAGCTTTTGATATGTTGGAGGTCATGAGAAAGCAAGGGGTCTTTCCCAATCTTCATACTTACAACACATTAATTTGTGGATTATTGAGGGCAAATAGGGTTGATGAGGCATTGGAACTTTTTACTAATTTGGAATCTCTAGGCATTAAACCTACTGCTTATACATACATCATTTTCATTAACTATTATGGAAAGTCTGGTGACCATGGCAAAGCTCTCGAGACCTTTGAGAAGATGAAAGCTAGAGGAATTGTTCCTAACGTTATTGCTTGCAATGCATCTTTGTATAGTCTTGCTGAAGCAGCAAGGCTTGGCGAAGCAAAATCTATTTTTAATGGGCTTAAAAGTAGTGGGCTTGCTCCAGATTTAGTGACCTATGACATGATGATTAAGTGCTATAATATAGTTGGGCAAGTAGATGAAGCCATTGAGTTACTGTCTGAGATGCTGGAAAATCAGTGTGAACCTGATGTAATTATTATTAATTCTTTGATTGGCATGCTTTTCAAAGCTGGCCGAGTAGGCGAGGCATGGGAAATGTTTTATAAAATGAAGGACATGAAGCTTGTCGTGACCTTTAACACATTAATAGCTGGATTAGGGAAAGAGGGTTAAGTACAAAAAGCAGTTGAATTGTTTGAAAGTATGACCAGGCACCGGTGTCCCACTAACGCAATAACTTTCAACACTCTGCTAGATTGCCTTTGCAAGAATGATGAGGTTGATTTGGCTTTGAAAATGCTATATAAAATGATGACAAGGAATTGTAGTCCTGAGGTTCTGACTTACAACACTATTATTTATGGCTTTATTAAAGAAAACAGAGTTAAGGATGCAATTTGGGTCTTTCATCAGATGAACAAGCTGCTTTACACTCATTATGTGACTTTGTGCACCCTTCTTCCTGGTGTTGTGAAGGATGGGCAGGTTATGGATGCCTCAAGATTGCTCAGGACTTTGTTTATCAGGATGGAATTGATACAAACGGGTCATTTTGGAAAGATTTAATGATTGGGATCGTGATGGAAGCTGGAATAGATAAAGCTGTTCTATTCACTGGGACATTGACATTCAATAAGATCTGTAAGGATGACTCTATTTTGGTGCCACTGATAAGAAATTTGTGTAGGCACAAGAAAGCCATTCTTGCAAGAGATTTATTTGCCAAGTTCACAAAAAATATGGGGGTTATCCCAACGCCCAGAGCATATAATTTGTTAATTGATGGGCTGCTTGAAGTCCATGTCACTAAATTGGCTTGGGGCCTTTTTGAGGAATGAGCAGCACTTGGTTTGCTCTCCTGATTTTCTACCTAAACTTGTTGGCTGGGATGCTTTGTGGGGAGTGCTGGTCACTCCGATAAACTCTTTGAAGTGTATGAAGAGATAATTTGTCGTGGATGCAAGCCTAATACTATAACTCAGAATATAGTCCTTTCTGGTCTTGTGAAATCAATCAACATAGAAAAGGCTATGATGGAGCAATCTTGGGACTGTTGGAATGGTGGAGCAAGCTGGGAAGTTTTACGAAGAACTACAACTTATGGGCCTTGAACCCACTGTGTTCACCTACAATGCTCTAATTCGAGGGTACAGTGAGTCTGGAAATTCTGACCATGCCTATGCAGTTTACAAACAGATGATGGTTGGTGGCTGCAGCCCAAACATGGGAACATTTGCTCAGCTTCCTAATCAATCTTGAAAGTTGAAATATCTAGATGCTTATATGCCTACTTATTATACCTGGCTGCTGATCTCTGTGTACAAGATGGAGCATGTATTTTCCTTTTCAACTCTTCTCGTACAGATTCAGAAAATTATTGAGAATTTGACAATTTGATGTCAAAATCACCCGTTAAGTTCCTCTCATGTATGTCAGGCTTGGTTAGTCTTGCTGATGCTTTATCTGGCATTTTAGCAGTTTGGAGAGTGGAATTTATCTTTAGCTGCAGCATTTAAGCTGTGCTTAATGTTTCCTATTCAAGTTGGATGTAAGGTGCATTTGCAGGTTTTTAGGCACATCGTGCATGTAAGATTTTGTGATGTTATACGATGATTTTGTTAGGTGTAGATGACATACATAACCTTTCGTCTTTTTTGCTTTTGGCCTGCATTGTCCTTTGATGTAAAAAGGAAAGAATATTTTAGATCATACTATTATCCGTCTAATATGTTACGAAAACTATTACTGGTAATTTCTCCATAGTCAATTCTCTTGTGCTTTTTTTATGACTTCACTTGGTGTGTAAAAATTTAGGGAATTTTTCTTATAGAAAAACTTACGAGCAGATTTAGAAAAAAGGATCCATGTCAATCTCTAATGCTGTGACTTCCAGCTCCCCTCCTTGGTATGAGTGGCGAAAGAAAGGTCTCTGATTTTCCTGGAACCACGTGGAGAGCAATGAAAGATAACATTGGGTTTCTTTTTCGGAGTCATTCAGTTCCGACATGATTCCTGCAGGCATCGGACAACTTACCTGACGCCTTGTTTTGTTGGTGGTATCTCAGCTGCTATTCCTTACATGGGTGATAACGGATGAGATAAAAGAGGAATTATTTGATATTCTAACAGTGAAGGTTTTTAATTTCACAGATGGAGTTAAAATGGTAAAATATATTTCACTTGTTTTTTAAATTAGTTTTTTTTAAATAGATATTAACAAATATATGTTATCATTTTAATTCAATTTATGAAATTAAAAAATTTTATTATCAGTATATTAAATAATTTTTTCAAAAGATATATATAATTTGGTTGATTTTAATATTTTTTATTGTTTATTTATTTTATGATCCGACAATTGATATGAATCAAATTAAAATATTTAATATCTGAATTAAAAAAAATCAAAAAATTTTTTATTCAAATCAAATTAAATATTATAATTTTAAATTTATTTTTAATTTTTGAAAATTTTCCTCAACCTTAACTCCTTGAACAAAGTAAAACTGATTACTTATTTGCTTACAGCTTACCAGGTACAATGGAGTGTCAAGAAAGGAATTAAAGTGTCGTTTTTCTCTGTTAACTCAAATCCCTAATTTAAAAAGTTTGTTTTTTTCAATTGATGCAGTTGAATGATTTTACCTTAATTTCAACATATTAAATAGTAGTGTTAAAAATATTTTCTAGACTAATCTTCCTAACCACTTAACACCTATCTGCGAACTGTCAAAGCGCATGTATAGATGAACAAGAGGTTGTGTTTTCATTTCCTCGTACAGATTTTTGTTAAAGAAAAAGACATGTACCGAATTTCTCTCAATCTCTTCCATTGCATTTGCATGGGACTTCGGAGCTCAGTTTGGATGGTGTCAAGATGTCAATGCCATCAACATGTATTATAGAAGTCAAAGTTATGGTACAATAAAAGATTGGATTGGGTTTAGTACATAAAATGATCTTTGTATTATATATTTTTTATCAATTCGATATTTGAAAAAAAATAACATTTTTTATTTTGATGTTTCAATTTTTATTTCATTAAATATTTCTATATTTCATTGTTTTTGTAGTTAGTTAAATGATTGATGCAGTATAAATATCTTATAAAATAATGTCATATACTATAAATATTAAATTATTATTACATTAATTATTATCATGTCAACAAATCATTTCAAAATGTCATGTATTATAAATATTCAATTATTATTACATTAATTATCATCATGTCAACAAATAATTTTTAAAAAAATCACAAAAATAAAATCTGAATTTTTAAAAAAATAAATGAAAAGAAAAAGAAAAAGGTCAAGGAAATAGAGGAAACAAAAAGAAAAGGAGAGAAAGAGAGGAGAGAGAGGGGATAGAGTGGCATATATGGTCGTTTTAAGATCGGATTTAGATTTGATAATTTTAGACATGAGGATGATGCAATATGTAAACAATAAAAAAATTATATATATATATATGTTTTGAAAAAGCATGTATAATATTTATTTATATCGATACAAATTTTGACATAACACAATTCATGTTTTATACACATTGACACTTATAATAATATGTGTAAGATACAAAAAATAGGTTTAGATAAAATATATTATACATATACATGTTGAACACATGACACAACATGAAAAATATGTTTAATTTAATCTTATCATACTAATAGATAATTAACATATTTAACACGTTTAACACATTTATTTATTTATTTTAATATAAGCATATAAAAATTATTTTAATTTTTAATCTTTTAATTATGATATTTAATTAGCTATTCAATACCATATAACGATTATTTTAAACATACAATCATGATACTCATTTAATAATTATTATAAAATTATTTTTTATATTAATTATATAAATACAATAAAGTGTTAATATTAATCTTATACATTATTATTTTATTCATTAATCTTTAGTAGTTCATCGTTTTGAATTTAATACTAAAAATTAATATAGTTATGTAATATATATTAAAATTTAAATATACATTAAATACATATTAAATGGGTATAAAAAAATTTATATTCCTTTTAATATGCAAGTACTTTTTTGTATTATTAATGTGTTAAATTTATTAAGTTGTAAATGATGGATAAGTTATAATTACTTATTATTTTAGCCGTGTTTTTGTATATATTTATTTTAGTTGTATTTATTTGTGTATATCCATATTCATTATGTTTATTCATGTATATTTGTGTTATTTATATAGTGTTTAAACAAATTAATTATGCACATGTTAATCGTATCATGTCACGTATAATATCATAATAAACATATCATGTTCATGTTTAAGATTTAAACACATTTTATAATTATGTTGTGATCGTATTTTAATAATTCATATTATCACATATGTCAAACACAACAAAAGATATGATACAGAAATACGAATTGTCAGATCTAATCGAATCGAGATAGGTCTACTCCATCTGTACCTTTTTTTTCCCTTTTTCTCTTTTCTCTCTTTTTTTTTTTTTTTTTTCACATTTTTTTCTTTTTTAATTTTGAATTAAAAATATATTTTAAAATATATTTTGACTTTTTATTTAAATATTGATGTGAAAAATAATTGATATAACAACAACTGTATATTTATATCATGTGTCATTATTTTATTAAGTATTAATATCATATACGTAAATTAATTAATAGTTTGAAAAATCAAATTGCTTAACAAAATAAAAATTTAGATTCTAAATCAAAATTTTTATTTCTTTAAATACTAAATTGATAAAAAAATTTATAACACATAATTATTATATAGATTTATATTTGATATATTATCAGTATATAAATTTTATACATTATTAATAAATATGATGATGTTATCTTATTAATAAAATGAATCAGATAATATCACGTCGTTAATAAGTAAATTTTTTTTAAAATATTAATTTTTATATATTTATTTTAAAAATTAATATTTACTCATTAATGAAGTAATATCAACGATTTTACTGACAATATATGAATTCTATAGTGTATTAAATATAAATCCCGTACCAATAATTTGGTAATTATGACAAGTTTCAAGGCTAAAGAAAGGAGGATATATTTGTAATTAAAGCGAAGATGCTGTAGCTGTTATCCAACAACACAACACACCACCATTTTAAGCCATGTGAGGGTTCTTTCTTTGGCGCCAACTGCAACTCTATCGAACGAAGAGTAGCCATTTATCTCCTGCCTTTTCTGCTTCCATGGCCAAAAATCCTCCAAAACAAAACCATTCTCTGTGTAAAATGGCCCAGCTTGACCAAAATCTTATGTACTGCCCAACAGAAAAACATATACAAAATGAAAATCTTCCCTTCTCTTAAATAAAAATAAAAAAATGAAAAGGAAACATGGAAAGCTAAGACAGATAGAGAGAAGGAAAGATGTCTTCAATTGTCCTCCAACCACAGAGCTCCCTATCTCTAAAAAAAAAAAAAAAAAGAAAACAACTTAATTCCCACATTTGCCCTTGTCTGCATCCCATCTTCCATCACTGATTCAACTCAAAACTCTTTTCCCGTTCTTCATGGGACATTTCGGGTTCTCACAATCTCCAACCAGTTTCAGAGAAGGAGAATAGCAGATCGGATACACCCCAACTTTCTCCTTCCTCTCCTTCTTCCTTATTATTTTTATTATCATTATTATTGCCTTTTTTGTGTTTCTTCCGTTCGCTGCCCCTTTTTCTTCGTTCCCTAGAATTCCAATTCGTATCTCCCTTATGTGACTCAATTTTGGTTTTTCTTTCTTACCTTGTTTTGATTTCGGATTTGTCAATAAGCTAATAAAAACAAGCTTCTTTTTGGGTTCTTGGAATTTTCTTTTTTTCTTCTCCTAATTGGAACTGGAGATAGTTTTCTGGATTATAAAATTTTAAGGCTGAAGATTTTTTTTTTTTTTTTTTAAAAAGATAGAAGGGCTTTCGGAGTTTTCTGCAAATTTTCTGATATATTTTCTTGATAAATTTTTTAGTCAATTTTCAAGTGTTTGTTATTGGGATCTCAATTAAGATGAAAAGGGCTTCTCTAAATTCTCATCGGCAATATAACTATGTTGATGAGGAAGCTAGGGCTAGATTGAAGCATCAAAATCTACTCCAGGAGTTCCTGGAATTGCAAAAGGTCAGTCATTTTGCCTCAATTAATCTATTTAGTTGTGTTATGTGATTAACTAGGCTGCAATCTTTCGATCATCAAACACTTATTTTATCATGCAATCATAGATTCTAGTTTCTTGTTTTGATGCTGTCTGAAGTCTATAGCCTGTAGGATACTGATATTGAGTTTGTTTCTGCCTAAATTCTTACTAGTTTCTTAGTCCAACTGCTGAACGATAAAATTGTGCTAATTGTTCAAATGTTGGCTTCTGCTTTGATTATTACACCGCAATTAAGCGAAATAGCTGTGTTAGGAGTGGATAGAAACTTATTCTCACGGAATATATAGAGTGAGTGTTTATAGTTACTAATTATTCTAACTGTTTGTACTTGAGTTAGCAATTAATTCTTCCTCCGTGCCAATCACTAATAGGAATTTGTTTCAATTAAGAAGAAATTGCAGACAGTGAGCCAGAAGCGAGAAACTCTTTTGGCTGAAGTTCGGTATGATATCTACTTCCTGAAATTGTATTGATTTTTGCGATCAAGAACGTTGGATAAATTAAAAATATCTACCCTTTCTCCTGAATTCTAGATTCTTAAGACGGAGGTACAGTGATTTATCAATAACCCAGTCTCAAGAATATGAACTACTGCAAGATTCTGTTCAATTACAAAATCCCTGCCTGCAAAGCAAAATGGCTAAAAACTATGGCATCAATGAAGCTGTTGAGAGAGGACCATGTTCTCTTCCTGATTTAGACCCAAACGTGGTAATCAACTTGAAATATATAGATTGAGAATTTCTTGTGCTAATAAGGGTTGACATTGGAATCCGTTAACTATTTTCATATTGCAGGATCGTGAGGAAGGGGGTAAGAGGAGTCAAGTAGATGTTCAGGCCCCGTCGAGAAAGGAGAAGAAGCCCAAAAACTGTTTTATCAATGGCAAAAGGGTTAAGCAGAAGAAAATATCATGGCAAGATCAGGTGGCTTTGCAAGTGTAATGAATAAGTAATCTTTTCAAATATAATTTAGCAGTAAGCTGAGGTGGGGACAAGATTTGACTGTCGCACCGAAAAACTTTTGATTTGAGGTGGGAAGAGGAAAATCAGTGCCTTACAATTCTTTGTTCAGCATTAACTGTAAACCAGGGCAAATTTGCTCAGTTTAGCATAATATGAACGTAGTGGATTGCTCATTTGTCATGTGAATAAAAATCTTTCTCTTTCTAATTTTGACTGTATTTCGATGTGGAGTATTCTTTGAATGGTAAAACCTGGAATGTCACAGGGTAATTTTTTAAAGTCTAGTTTATGGTGACCTGTACGAAATATGATTTGTGTTATTTACAACTGTGTATTCTAGAATGATGACTCGAGTAGCGACTGATCGTCAAATATCTGTGCTTCTGCTGCGAACCTGAAATAAAGGATAGGAGAGAAATGGGCAAACAATGTAAATGTCATCACTAAAAGTATGATATACTATTGTATTGTCGGACATAAAAAACACCCCCGGCTAAATGACGATATAAAAATAAAATCATTATTATTATTATTATTTTTTGTTAATGTCATCAATTCGTTCCTGCTCTAAAGCATATGTACAAATGCATATCACAATGTTTTGATATAAGGTCCTCAAATCTTCTTCAACTAGAGGATCTGATACCTACACCAACAGTTTGCAACTACTTTTCTTACCTTCCTTCGGGTTTTGATTCAGTGTCAACTGAATTGGAATGGGAGGATTGCTCCTCTGCAGATGATGCAGACTTGATTGATTTCTTGAACTGCACCAAGATCATGGTCATATTGTCACAACCCTCACCCGTGGCTGTTGATGGTGCTAAGCACCAGTCAAGTACTCTCTCACAAACAACAGAAAGCTTGCTTTCTTGCATTGCATGCAAGAGTTGGTACTAAATATACAAACATAAATAAATAAATAAATAAGTATAAGGCAAGGAATGACCCTGAACTCAACTGACCTAGCAAATTTGCCTAAACAAGTATTCAAACATACAGGCAGGAATCAACTTATCTATCAAAGTTAGGCTAATGTACGTACTGAATTTAGTTGTTCATGAATTAAATCTACCAGTGTCTGACTCGACATGCAATCCCTGAAATATAAAATTCAAAATTGAGAAGGCATTAGATACTAAATTCAAGATTGAAATCTAGTCAGACATAAACGATACTCAACTAAATAAAGTTGTGAAATGAGATAGATTAAATTCTAATTCCAATATATAAACTACAAGGAAAAAGCATTAGATATATACCAGATTCCATCACATGCCAGGACAATAAAGTCATCATCATCACAGAGCTCAACCTAATTGAAAAGTAGTAAGTTGTAGAAGTTAGATACCACAAGCTCCAAAGATTTTTAGGATTGATAAGCACATATTAAAGAAAAAATGGAAAATTTAATAGTATAAATCTGGTCACATAGCTGACAGAAGATATACTTACAGTGTTTATGTCTGGATTTGCAGTTACAATTTGCTTTTCAGCAGGCAAAAATTTATTCTGCTTGAATTCCACGTCACCTATCAGGAAAAGGAATCGATAGATTAAAACTACATCTCTCCCTCTATCCACCTCTCTCTCTATTTCTCACCCATCAATGCATAAAAATATCAGATGTCTACGGATGCCATACATTTGCATAGGAAACCATGGATGTATAGAAATGTTATTCAATAGATTTAGGAAAAGAAATAGCACTTTGAGCCCAGTGGCATAAGTCTCTCGCTCTCAAGGAAATTCCAAGGACTGAAGCAGCAAGTTCAATTAGTCCTTATTTTTTTTTTTGTTTTCTAGATATCAAATAGGGAGGTAAATTACCTATGGCTCTTGCAAGATTCAAACAGCAGTTGACATGTCCTGCGTGTATAAAACCACCAGCTTTTAAAATTCTTTCTTTCTCTGCCTCAATGTTAGGTTTGTGATCCCTAGAAAGATTGTATGCCTACAGAAAATAGGTAATTTAAGGACAAAGATATTCAGAAAGAAAAGAATATTCCCTACAGTGACTTATGTTTAATGCCCATAGTTCAAAGTACAATAGCCAGTACATCCACAAATAATTGAAATTGATTTACAAAAGTAATCTCCATTTTAGTATCCATTCAAAAAGAAACTAGCTAAGTACATCCCATTAGTATATTACCTCTACCCTTTCTAGATATCACACAACGAGAATCACATGCATTTGCAACAATAAGTTGGTTGTTTCTTACAACTGCAACAGAGGCTGAACTCCCAGAAGTTGGTCCAGAAAAGTCAGAATGAGGGCCCTGATTGTATTTTAGAAAACAAATACAAGTTATACATGCAAATTGTTGCAATAAAAAAATTTCTTAATTGTACAGACAAAATAATGCAGGAAAATTATGGATGAATAATATTATCATGCAACCACAGAAAAACCCAGAGATTGCACATTTATGATACCTGCCCAAACTCAAAAAGGTAAGTGCATAGAAAAATGTTAAAGTTCAAGATAGAATATATTCTCCAACATCAGGGCTCTATATCTGCATAGATACACCACATCAGCTAAGAGTTAACATGTAGCAATGCAAGTTCTATTATTCTTCTTCAATCTTGGTTTCCATTATTGTTTGCAGCAAACATCAAATTCTGTTCAGCATTCTAGTTAAAGAAAATAACAGAGGTATATTCTTTTGGTTTTCATAAGTACCTCCTCAAAGGCTCAATTATCAACTTGGTCATTACCACCACCACCCCTTGGAGACCATATCAATCCTTCTATCATGCCATTAAACTTGTTTATTTTATCGCCCAAAATGGCTAATTCTCTCCATCCTCCTTGTCCACGCATCATCTCAACCATTCTGCACTAAATGTAACTCAAGTTGAAAACACATGAAATGAACAATGGGAAAGGCATTCAAACCACAAAAAGGGGGAAGGGGGAGGGGGGGGGACAAGATGGGTAATGGAGCACGGAGCACTATCATTTGTAACAAATTTCTCCTTCCATACTTGTATCAAAGGTTTGTAAAAGCACTTTGATCTTTTCTGGAAGGGCTCTATGGGAGGTAAAACATTAGAAAGCCTTAAATCTAATTAGAAAAAAATTACTGAATAGCAGAAAATTATGAGATCTATAACCTTGATGAGATATAAGATTTGAAGTACAATGTTTAACAAAAAATGATATTATTAAGATTATACAAGAAAAGCAACAACAGTCTTTAAATCAGTGACAACAGTTGTGTCAATTTGCTTTTCAAGCTACTAAAATTGTAATAATGGCAGAGATACTATTTCAACATGCCTGGAACGTGCATGCATTAGATATTTCTAGGAGAAGTAACCTTGGGAAATACATAAAGAGATCTTAGCAGCCCTAAAAGGTGGATCAAAAAGGAAAAGTCACAAGTATCAAATAATTGATCAACATACATTATTACTAGCAAGTACTAAACACCGAATCCCCAAATCATTCAGGAACCACAATTTCATTGTTGACTCCCATAACAATCAAAGCAAGTGAAGATCAAACATAAACTCAAGTAATGAAATTAAATAACCTGAAAAATGCTCTCTCAACTGATGTCTCTATGTCCCCAGCTGCATATGCTTCATGCTTGAGTACCTGCTGGTGAAGATATTTGGCACAGAATTTTGCAACTACCTTGCCTGCAAGTTACAAATTTGGACAAATTGAAGACAGGCGAACAGTAGCCATAACTTAATCATATTTGAAAAAAGCTCGAAGCTATTCACAGAGTGATCTATGAAATAAGTCACTTAGTATCAAAATTAAGCACAGTTGCCAAGAACAATTATGAGAATCCTTTAAAGAGAAAAGGTTAAAAGATACTAAGCATTCACTGACACCAAAGTGAATTCCCTAAACGTCTCAACAGAGTCATGCTATAAAAAGAAGGCTTCGAGATTCTTCAGTTGGTTCAAGTCTTAAGTAGGAGCATGGATAGGAAGGAACAAAAACCCCTAGTTCAGATGGTGTATAACAAATGAAACCAGTACATGAAACCGAAAACAATCATAAGATACCTGAACCATTCCAGTCTTACCTCCATGACCATCATAAACACCAAAGAATGAAGTAGAAGCATCGAGATCAGGATCTGCAGCATGCTAACAAAACAAATAATAGAAGTAACTATAATACATCCATAATATAAAAAGAACTGGGAATCTGGAAGAAATATAAGATAATGACCAATATTACAAACTGACAAGAATATAAACTTTAAAGACAAAAATGGAGGAAAGACATGTATAAAAGAGGAGTTAAGTCCACTCTGTTTGCAGGTCTAAGAAGAGATTATCAGAAATAGGAGAAGGGCTTAGATGTGAATGACCAAAAAAGTTAATTGTAGAATAATATATAAACCGTAAATGATAAATGAACTTTCACAGAGATACTAATACATGATTGTCTTGTGTTTTTGAGGTGGGAATGGGGAACGAAATGGCAGAAAAATCCATTCCGAAAGGGGTTTTATAGAAGACTAATCCATTTACCAAACCTTTCCCCTAAAAAATCATTGTTAGAATATACCCCCCCCCCCCAATATAGTTTTCATCCCGTAGAACGTAACAAAAAGGGTACAAATGCTTAGAACATTTGAAAAATAAAAAGGTTTCTTTCGTTACTCACAGCATCTTCCATGGTTGCACGCCGTCCTTGCATGGATGATAGACCATATCTAATCCTATCATTCTCGCCATCTTCAGAGAATTTCTCAGTCTTAGGCGTGTTAAGATATATACCCATCTATGTCTGCAATTGGATGAATCATGTGAAGTCACCTTTTAAAATTCAGGAGTACTTAAAACAAATGCGTGGCTTATTTGATCTCCCCAAGTTTTGCAGCTAAAAAAAAAAACCAATAGCTTTTTTGCTGAAATATATTTGGGAAACTGACCTATTAATTCAGAAATTATCAAGTACGCGCAACAGCAATCAGACAAGATAGTCTCTAATCAGAGAAATACAGAAAGTCCTATGCT